GTAAAATCTATCACCGCCTCCATATCTTCCACTTCTATTTGCCAGTAGGTGATGGGACCAGTGGCCGTGATCTTAGTTTTTTTGCTGTTGAACTTCAGACCATTTTTTGCGCTCTCCTCTTTCACCCTCATTAAGAGATTCTTTAATTTTTCCTCACTTTCTGCCATCAGAATGGTATCCTCTGCATATCTGAGGTTGTTTATATTTCTTCCAGCAATCTTAATTCCAGTTTGGGATTCATCCAGTCCAGCCTTTCGCATGATGTATTCTGCATATAAGTTAAATAAGTAGGGGGACAATATACAGTCTTGTTGTATTCCTTTCCCAATTTTGAACCAATCAGTTGTTCCATATCCAATTCTAACTGTTGCTTCCTGTCCCACATATACATTTTTTAGGAGATGGATAAGGTAGTCAGGCACTCCCATTTCTTTAAGAACTTGCCATGGTTTGCTGTGTTCCACACAATCAAAGGCTTTTGCGTAGTCAATGTAGATGTTTTTCTGAAACTCTCTGGCTTTCTCCATAACATTGCGCATGTTAGCAATTTGGTCTCTAGTACCTCTGCCCCTTCGAAATCCAGCTTGTACTTCTGGAAGTTCTTGGTCCACATACTGCTGAAGCCTACCTTGTAGGATTTGAGCATAACCTTGCTAGTGTGTGAAATGAGTGCAATTGTACGGTAGTTGGAGCATTCTTTTGCACTGCCCTTCTTTGGGATTGGGATGTAGGCTGATCTTTTCCAATCCTCTGCCCACTGCTGAGTTTTCCAAACTTGCTGGCATATTGAGTGTAGCACCTCCACTTATCTTGTTGTTAGTCATGCTTTCTAAGGCCCACTTGACTTCACTCTCCAGGATGTCTGGCTCAAGGTCAGCAACCACACTATCTGGGTTGTCCAGATATTTCTGGTCTAGTTCCTCTATGTATTCTTGCCACCTCTTCTTGATGTCTTCTGATTCTGTAAGGTCCCTACTATTTTTTATCATGTCCATCTTTGCACAAAAGCTTCCTTTCATATCTACAATTTTCTTGAACAGATCTCTGGTTTTTCTCTTTCTATTGTTTTCCTCTATATCTTTGCATTGTTCATTTAAGAAGGCCCTCTTGTCTCTGCTTGCTATTCTTTCGAAGTCCGCATTCAATTTTCTGTAACTTTCCCTATCTCCCTTGCATTTTGTTTCCCTTCTCCTCTCTGCTATTTGTAAGGCCTCATTGGACAGCCACTTTGCTTTCTTGCATTTCCTTTTCTTTGGGATGGTTTTTGTTGCTGCCTCCTGTACAATGTTATGAGCCTCCATCCATAGTTCTTCAGGCACTCTGTCCACCAAATCTTGTACCTTAAATCTGTTGTTCACTTCCACTGTGTATTCATAAGTGATTTGGTTTAGATTATACCTCACTAGCCCAGTGGTTTTTCTTACTTTCTTCAGTTTAAGCTTGGGTTTTACTATAAGAAGCTGATGATCAGAGCCACAATCAGCTCCAGGTCTTGTTTTTGCTGACTGTATAGAGCTTCTCCATCTTTGGCTGCAGAGAATATAATCAATCTGATTTTGGTATTGCCCATTTGGTGATGTCCATGTGTAGAGTCACCTCTTGTGTTGTTGGAAAAGAGTGTTTGTGATGACCAGCTTGTTCTCTTAACAGAACTCTATTAGCCTTTGCCCTGCTTCATTCTGAACTCCAAGGCCAAACTTACCTGTTGTTCCTTTTACCTCTTGACTCCCTACTTTAGCATTCCAATCCCCTAGAATGAGAAGAACACCTTTCTTTGGTGTCAGTTTTAAAAGGTGTTGTAGGTCTTCATAGAATTGGTCAGTTTCAGCCTCTTCAGCATCAGTGGTTGGTGCATAAACCTGGATTACTGTGATGTTGAAAGGTCTGCCTTGGATTCGTATTGAAATCATTCTATCATTTTTGATAAACTGGTAGTCAAAGAACGTTATGTTCACTGTGGTTTTCACATGCTCATCATTAGTAGTGGTTTTGGGAATATTGCAGGGAAGCAGATAGGTCTGTGAGAACAAGGAGAGAGAAAGAGAGCATATATCTATACAAATGGAATCCTCTTCATGACAGTCTTCATAGTGGTAACTAGTTGTGAGCCTGTTACCTTGTGAATCATCAGAAAAGCCTGGGCTATAAGTTTACAAAACCTCTCCTGCAGAACTAATGGAGCAGCATGACATACCATAGCATATGGGGCAGGACTGAAAGAATGGGTGGACTATGCTTTGCTACTACTGCTATGCTGTAAACGGAATCTGTGCGGGTTTCATCCCTTTTCCCTCCATTGTCCTTGTGGGAACATGAGACGTGATGGGTGGGCTGAGGGACTGGGTAGAAAGAAGCTGGTTTCACCCTTTTAGGAGTCTTTGGTGCTGTTCAATATGACGTTTCAGTTTCTCTTCTTTTTCCTGTACAAAGCCACTCCCTCCATGCAATTTCTTTTGCTTCCCTTCCTTGGCTATCCTCTTCCTGGAACAGTTTCCCAGCCAACAAACTCCTGACACTTCATTCCAATTTCTGATAGATCATTTAGCTGGATAAAATGTGGCCAGTTAAGAAATATGGCATCTCTATTTGGACAGAAATGACTAAAATATATGTGGTAGAGGACATATTTAATATGGGCAGATTTTTCAGAGAGCTCTTATTTAGTTGGTTGATCATATGTCTTCAGTGAAAGAAAATCTGTCTTCATAGCAGTTGGGAATTATATCACAAGCTATTCAATGCTTTTTCAAATGACAGTACGCATTAAGATGGACTTTATGAGTTTTTGAAGTCAATGACTATTCTTTTTTTATAAAATACCGAGATCACCTATTTGCACTCCAACCAGACAGTCAAGATTAATGGCAAGGCAACCAAATGTCTGTGAAAAATTATAGTGATAGATGCATGCCGACTACACGTTTTCTTGGTATTTGTGTTGCAATGAGATCCCTTTCTGTTGTATGTTGATGATGGCCAGCAATCTGAAAATATACCTGACTCATTGGAGGTTACTTAGCAAAGGGAAGGGAGTAGGATGTGCATTGTTGACAGTGGAAAATGGAAAGGCGGTGCTTACTCAGATGGTCTTTTGCAACTACCGATCTATTCAAAAATATGCCCTGCTCATTATCTTCCCCAAAAAGAAATGAAATCATTTCAGCTCTAATGTTGTGCCTGTGGATTATGCCCAGTGCCGTTTAATGCTGGCTAAGTGATTCTTTATAGTACTCCCAGAAGCACTTAGATTGGTTAATGTCATGCAAAGCAATAGCAGCAGTACTAATTTATATTTAAATAGATGGGTGAGTTTTGAATGGTGTGGGAAAAGTGGATAAATGTATTTTTCTTTCAAGATGAAGAGGATCAGCTACTTTTATCAGCTTTGTAATGTCTTCTCACATTGTTATTATTTAGTCTATGAAAATGATGGGTTTGTCTCAGTACCTGCAGCTGCTGGCCAAACCCATTTGATCATGGACTTTGAAGTGTAAGCGCTGCAGACAACCCAATATCAGTTGTCTGGAATGTTTCCACTTGGAAGTCTTTAAAGCACCGCTGAATGTCAGGCTGCTTTGATTTGGTTGGGGGAAAATTACTTATCGGGTATATACATTTTTAAAATGGCAGGCTTTCTCTTACTTCTACTCAGTCATCATCATCATAATCACACACACACACACACAATTTTGAAACATTAATAATAATTTCAGTCATGGGAAATTAACATAGACGGTGTAACCTTGAGTGGTAAGCTGTTTTTCAAAAATAAATAATCAGACTTTCTAAGTAGCAAGTCTTCTACTGGACAAAAATGTTTGCCATTGTGGAGGTTGTTTGTTGTGCCCATCCTTTGAAGACAGCAGTGAAGTGAGGACACTGCATGAAGAGGCATTTCTAATTCAAATTACAAAATTTCCTTAATTCTGAGTTGCAAAATAATTCTATTTATTTGCATAGCATGGTCACTGTACATTGCACTTTATTAGGTAATAGAAAGAAAACTGTTTATATGAACAGAAATCAGGCTTCTGCCACTGTAGCCTGCATTATAACTTTCATATATTCTTGACTAATGCATATTCAGTTGCACTTAATGTCTTATATTCTTCATGCACTTATTTTTTAAGCTTTAACTAAGGATTGGGCCAAGATAAGCAGAACTGGCCAATATCAATTAGGATACCATAGTTCTGGCATGTGTCCTCTAGCTCTTTTCAACATGTTGATCATAACTTCATAGAAATTTTAAGTCTTAGTACTGCCAGACGTATCAGTGGGTGGCACAGGAATATGGGAAACACTCCATATACTCTATGTATAACTGCCATACTATAAACTAAGCCATATTAAAGTGTAGGCACTAAGCAGTCATGCAACCATGTTCAGAAACTGTAGTTTGATTTTTTTTTCACATTCTATGCTTGTTGGCAGACTTTGTTTTTTTAATCTTATCTCTACTTTTTTGTCTGACTAATACAGTTCCTGGAGGCACCACAGCTATATCTCAGAGTCCATGCTTTGCTGTTATGTGCTATTATGTCCTTTTGTTATCTATCTATTATTTTGCTTGTTGTGAAGCACCCAGAATAGTCCACTAATGGGGCGGTCAGTCAGTCAGTCAGTCAGTAAGTACATTCTAACATATGACAATGAATAAATGGCTACCAAGATATTCTATTGAGACATCCTATCATCAATCCTGCACGGGTCTTACAAACTAATGGCCCATGGCCTTCACTAATGTGCTTGTGCTTATATTCTCATACATCGGTGTAAAATAAATCCAGTTTGGATGTGTGAATCAAACCCATATCTGGCCTTGTCATTTAACACTAAAACAAGATGTTGTAGATCAGATAACTTGGTCAAATATAGCTGTTATTCTCAGCGAAGGCTTGAAGAGGACAGAAATATACTATATGGAAAGCTACTGTGTTCTGTGAAACAGGAAAGAGCTATTTTTTTTTCATGGTGGCAATTTCATTTATATTTTGCAGTTAGCCACTTGTATGGCTTTGGACTGATGGATGCTGAAGCTATGGTGATGGAAGCAGAAAAGTGGACCACAGTACCTCCTCAGCATGTGTGCGTTGAGAATACAGATCGGCAAATCAAGTAATGCTTCTTGAAGGCATTTGTTGATATATTTATGCAGTACGTGGTAACTCATGTGTGGAAGGATCCCAGCAAGAGTCAGTTAATTCCTGTTTTTAAGTACCCCACCTCATTGCATGTATGCAGAAAGACAAGGCTTAGATCATTAAGGGAAAAAATGTTCTGCATACATCCCATATCTCTTGTTTCATGTTCTTATATGTTAATTACAATTTCAATCTTAAATTAATGAATAGATGTTTCTATTCTGCTTCCTGTCTTGAGGTGGCATATGTATATCTATTAAATCATTAATGGAGACCATGGTGGTATTTGATGTTTTGAAACAGAACAATACGACCAGATAATATTCGTAATGGAGCAGATAATGGTGTTCGCTCAATATACAAGGCTACAGGCTGTGCAGATAATGCCAATCACCATGTAATCTATCTGGAGCATGTTGTTGTGCGCATCACTATCACACATCCCCGGAGGGGTGACCTGGCAATTTATTTGACTTCACCTTCTGGAACAAGATCTCAACTATTGGCAAACAGGTACCATATTTCTATTCACTTTTCAGGCTGATCAGTGTTCACTCCCAAGGCTGTAATGCAGTTTAAATAAACATGAGTGGAGACATTGCTTCAAAATATGTCTTTTCATGAAAGTGAAAAAATGGTGTGGAAATTGAATCTGCTGCCATTATGAATATCAGCTGAGGCTAGAATCATCCCGTAATCTTTGCTACTGGCTACACTAGATTTTGACTGTTTCTTAATTGCTAGATAGCTCGGTGGTTTAGGTATCTGGCTGTAGAGCTAGAGGTTGAGAGTTCAATTCCCCACTGTGCCTTCTTGACAAGCTCTGGACTCAAAGATTCATAGGGTCCCTTCAAACTCTGCAGTTCCAAGATTCTAAGATTAAAATGTGGCATCACTGTAGGATATAGAAGAAGTGAAACAGGGTCAGTATCTCTCAGAAAGGTGATTGACAGAGCAGTGACTTTGAATGATACGTATTGTTACATTTATCCTACCTAAAAAGAATTGTGGCATAGCCCAATAAGCTGACTTAACCTGGCCTTTCTGCCCTGAGGATTTCAGAACTGTTCCTGTCATGTATCCTATCATGAGTGTCGTTTGTGATATTGTCTATCTGGCCTGACTTCTAATAAAGAATAGCTCTGTTGGAAATGTCAAGAACTTTTTAAAAGTTTTTTTTCTAGGGCCAGTCCAAGCATGTGACTCAGGAATCAATTAAAATAGTTTTATACCTTACTCTTCAGATAAGAATATGTACAACCTTTTAGTCATAAGATGATAAGTAATCTCTTTTATTGTAAATGGAGTAATACTGACCAATCTCTCTATTCATGTGGTGAATGTAATATGCATGGAAAATTGTAGGAGAATGAATTGCATGCAGTCAGATAATGTCAGATTTCTAATGCTGATTTGGAGAATGTTAATAAGCACCTTTACTACCAAGATGTAGGAGGCTCCCACTCTCTCCTTCTCATCTTCATAAATATCCCTTTAGAAAAATATGATTTGTTGAAACATGTACCCAGAGGTACCTAGTAATCTCCTGTCTCCTGATCTATTATGATGATTCAGCCAAACCCTGTAAAACTTGAATAAATAGGAAAAGAACAGTTGCTTGAAGCCAGGAAACATTAGAACATCTGGAAGGTTAATGTTTACAGAGTAATTTAATCTCATGAGAAACAAAATAGTTCATGTAGGCATTAGATCATACAGTTTCTAGAGAATGGAAGAAATCTTCATTTTCAGCTGGCCAATGAATTCTTACTGTTCTCGACTGTGACTTCTCCGAGATGACCAGTATACCTCTGTGTAATGTTTTTGTGCTAGATTGTAAAGCTACATGAGCACTGTTTTTTTTTTAAAAAAATTATATGGTCCCCAGACATAATCTGAAGATATACTTTAAGAACCCCACTGTGTAAGATTATATATCCCCAAATTTTCTTCCAATAATGGTCAATTACATCACAAAGAGAACATTAGAGCAATAGTATAATCCTGTTCATGTCACTCAGGAATTGCTGTTTCTTTCTTACATTTTTCTTCCACTTTTATAAATAATATATAGCCATAATGACTAATAGTCATTAATATGATGCTCCAGATCATCTGAATGCCTAGTTCATGCCTGAGTAGGCGATTAGGTGGAATGGTAATATTTTGAAAATTGTACTTTTATTTACTCTTAGATGTCCCACTTGGGAAGAAGTTGTAATAGGGATTGTGATCTTACTGCCCAGACATAAGGTCGGACAGAAATTTTTTAGAGGTCATTAATAGGTTCTAGCAGCTTTGCCCAGACACTCTTATTTTACTTCAGTTGTTTCAGACACATTAAGGAACAGGGTTTCTTTACTGTTTTTCCTTGATAGAGATTCTGTTTTCAGCATTTATGGCATCTCTATTTAGGGCAGGGAGGGGGAACACTTTGAGTGGGGGGATGTGGAACCCCTGCTTGGTTTTGTGACCTCTGGACATCACCAGAAAATCTGACTCAAAAAGTATTTGGAAGCTTCCAGAAGCAGTGATTCTCCTCTAAAGCGATGTCTCCAACCTTCCTTGACAGTTCATGGTTGTAAATAATCCAGATTCCCTCACTTTTGGATCTGTGCATTATGTCTGTGATTTTGGATGCTTCCAATTATTCTGTTTTGGTTTACATAGCTAGTCTGCCGTTTCTTTGACTCTGCCGTGTTGCCTGGTGGGTTGGTTCCAGAGAATAGCAAACAGAAGGTTGCCAGAAAGTTGGGGAAATCACATGCAACAGAGCCAAAACCAGAGTTCAAAAGCAATCCAAAGACAAGCCAGTCCAATATCACTGAAACAGACATGAAGAGTCCAAGAAGCATAAACGAGCTATTTCAGAATGTCATTCATACGGATCAAGGGTTAAAATGCAAGGTGAGATGAAGAGCCAATCCAAGCCTAAAGTTTACATATCTGAACTGCTGGAGCTCAGCTGCAGGTAAAGGTCAACTGCAGGATTCTCACCCGATAAAAGAGCTTCCTTCAATAACACACTACATCTGAGGTGGCCTCTTCTCCTAAGGTCTCTTTTCCTACAACCATCATTTTGTTTCAGGGTTTCTAGCTGGACTTGTGCCTTTGTCTTGACCATGCTCAGAGACTCAAAGGCTGTTTATGTACCTCCTCTGACTCAAACACAGGCCCAAAGTCTTTTGGAATATTGGGAAAAGAAAAGAAGGAAAGGAAAACCCCTAAATATTGTAACATATTAAAAACTGGCCATTTTATTTCAGTATGAGCTTTTATGGATCAAAGATTTCCTCCTCAAACTGAAATACAGTGATGCCTCACTTGACGACAGTAATTCCCTCCTGCCAGCATTTAAGTTAATTTAATTTATTTAATTTAACTTTTTCTTTTTCTTATCTATCATTTATTATTTTTAGTATGTCTGTTAATAATGGATGTTTATGGATTAATTTGTTTTAATTGTATTTGTTCTGTTGTTAGCCGCTCAGAGTGGTATAACTATACCAGATGGGCGGGATGTAAATCAAATAAATAAATAAATAAAATAAATCCGTTCCGTTCAAATCGCTGTTAAGCGAAATTGTCGTCAAGCGAAAGTAAAAAGCCCATTGAGATGCATTGGAAGCTGGTCAATGTGTTCCAATGGGTGAAATACCTCATCGTGCAGCAAAGATCCTTCATAGGGCAGCCATTTTCCGATGGCTGTAAAGTGAAGAATCCATCCTGAACACAGTGGGGAGCCATTTAGCACAGCGGGGAGCCATTTTGAAAACCCAACGATCAGCTGTTTTTGATCGTCGTTAAGCGAAAAATTGGTTCCTGAAGCAGGGAACCAATCCTCATCAAGCAGATTTTCCCCATTTAAACAAAATTTTGCGATCGCAATAGTGATCACAAAAAATTCATTGTAAAGCAGTTTCGTCATGGAGCGGGGTAATCATCAAGCGGGGCACCACTGTAAAATGGTTGATCTTTATTTTGCCAATATGCTGTGACAGCAAAACATGGGTATGTCTTTGGAAGCTTTTGAATATTCAGATTCTGTATCCTTCAATCTGAAGAATGTCAGATTTAGGAGTTTTCAGATCATCCTCACTGTAGGACTCATCCAGCAGGACAATGATAACTTCTGTCAAACATAGACATTCCCAGAAAATAAAGCTATAGAAAGATACACAAGGTTCAGCCTAGTCCTCCTATGGAAATTCATTTAACAGCCATGCTGAGATTCTTATTAGTGTAAACACCTGTATCAGGTCAGGAAACAGTTACAAAACAGACAAGTCTTGCTTTCATTTTTGTGACCTTTCAATTGGTGTTGCACTGAAATGTTTTTGTGGGTGGGTGTGTTCCTCTTACAGCCAGCACATCTGCTTTTGCTTTTTCAATTATAGAAGAATCCAGCCACAGTTAAATATTGTGACATCCCATTGATTATATCAGAAAGAGTTAAGCTGTTGCTTTAACTGTCAAATTTATTTGGACTCAGCCCTGTTTTTCTTGGCCATGTGTTCCATATTCTACGAGGATTGCTCCTAAACTCCTGGAAACTCCTAAACCTGTCAATGTGGAAGCCATGTGCTTGAACAAAATATATGTTAGCCAGATACTCAATTGTCTAAACCTGAAATTACAGGTGAACTCTTGTGATTTCTTTGTGTTGTTATGGGGGGAGAGGTCTTTCTGATGTGATAGCTTGTAGATTATGTTATCTTGGCCAGCAATTGTGGAAACGGGTGCAAAAGCAATCCTCATAGAATCTGGGTAAACCCTGACTGACCAGAAAATATGGGAACTCAGAGGCAAGGAAGGAAATGCATTGCACCATACTTTTTTGGTGGTGGGCTAACAGCAAAATGTGCCTAGCAGCTGTAGCACTTGCATCATTCCAATTAGGATATGTATCTGATATTACTGTACCTACACCACATATGCCACACGACACTGGCTTTTTTACACCCTAGATACTCTGAGCCTTCTTGAATGCTCATTGCCAGCTTACAATGACTATTATTCCAGACTGTGCACTACTGCTGCCAGGGCTTGTGCTTCAAGAACACTCACAATTCACAACACTGGTGATCCTCTCTCTGCCTCACTCTAAATGGGGTGATAGGTAAAAGGTAAAGGTTTCCCTTGACAATTTTTGTCCAGTCGTGTTCGACACTAGGGGGCGGTGCTCATCCCCGTTTCCAAGCCATAGAGCCAGCGTTTGTCCGAAGACAATCTTCCGTGGTCACATGGCCAGTGCGACTTAGACACGGGACGCTGTTACCTTTCCACCAAGGTGATTCCTATTAATCTACTCGCATTTGCATGCTTTCAAACCGCTAGGTTGGCGGGAGCTGGGACAAGCGACGGGCGCTCACTCCGTCGTGTGGATTCGATCTTACGACTGCTGGTCTTCTGACCCTGCAGCACAGGCTTCTGCGGTTTAGCCCGCAGCGCCACCATGTCACCACCCCACCACTAATGGGGTGATAGAGTCCAGTGCATATATACCTACTGGC